CTGCTAGATTATCAAATTCAGCTCATCATGGCTATCAGTCTAAAGTCAGTATACTGTGAAAAGTAGAATGTGAACTAAAAAGTTCAAAGAAAAGCATTAAAAACTTACTCAGATAAGACTTTTTGGTCATCTGGGCTTTTCTGATGGAATTCAATCAACTCCTGTAGGCTTTGAATGTACCTTTTGAGAAAGAAAACAAGAAATATATGCTATTAATTTAATTTTTATTAAGCTAGCAGTATCAAAACTTCTTTGTCTTGTGCACATCATTAGTCCTAACAAGTCACCTAGAAGTTTTGAGTATGTTTGAAATATCCAATTTACAACCAACAATGGAATGACAGATAGACACTTCTTGACTGCCTGAACTCCAGAAGTTTTAAGTCTTCTCTTGTGCCTGCCACCAGAGAGAAATCTAAGCTCTCACTTAAGATACATAGGATCCCCTTATAATTCTTTAGAAGAGATGCATTTCAAAAGATCCGAATGACAATGCCAGTCAGGAAGCCACTTAAGCAATTTTTTCCCAAATCTGATCAGCTTTGGCAGAAGCTAAGTAGCTGAGCTGCTTGAACTAACATCTGACAGGCCTGACGCATATGGCAAAGGCACAACAGTTTGCTATATTAAGAAGAGTTTCTAGATCTGACTCTAATACATCTGCTCTTCATGTCAGCCACCCTGGCAAATGCTGCAACTGTGCCACTAAGCAAGGTTAAATCACATTCAACCACTGTGTCAACTGCAGAGATTATGTTAATTGAATTTCAAACATTTGCTGCACAGGTAAAGACAATATACTTTGGAATAGAAGCTCTGTTAGTGACTCCATCAGTGAGAGATCAAAACAAATATATAGCCTGCTTTCCCATTTTGTTTTGGGCTCAGAGTCTGTAATGCTGTGTGGAAACAGAACACATTTTCTTTTCTCTCTTCTCTATTAGCTGTTCCGAATCCCCACACCTATTTAAAGATAACAATATAATCATACTGGTTTTCAATTTAATTTAGTATGCTAGAAAATGGCAGTGTATAACAGCTTGAAAATCAGATTTGATGAAGGAACTGCATTTCTACTTTGTTTCTAATTTGTTATACTTTCTACTTTTCAAAAAAGTCTGTAACAACAAAGTTCTCAAAGCTGCATAACTTTGCATGCTGAATTCAAGCAGTTCATACTTACCAGCTTTTTACTAATTTTACTGATGGAGTGCCTAGTAATTTATCAGGAAGAAGATCAATTTCTTTCAAGATGTTTGCAAACCTCACAGGAAGTTCTTGTCGCAAAAATGCAAAAGAAGTTCTCTCACATCCATTAGTCGAGCCTATGTATAAATACAAAACACAGTTTTTGTTTAAGGAAGTTTCAAGATGCAAATACAAATTGCTGACTTCCCATAAGCTTCAGGACTCTATTCCTCTGCAATCATGAGGCTTTTACTGGCCCGCTCACCTAAGTGTTAGGTGTTATATATGTTTATGCAGAATACTGTTTACATGACAGTAAGACACAGCGTGTTCCTGGACGGAATACTTGTACAGTTCCCATTTAGACATGAGACTTAATTGCAATCCCCTAAGAAGCACTCCCGTCTCTGTAAACAGGAGGTTGCTCGGGGTGACGTCTGGCGGTATAATGTGCGCACAGCCGCCAGAGCTGCCAAAGCGATAATGGATCTGGGAACAGCGCGTTCGCTCCGCCTGATGGCTCCTCCCGACGGTTCCTCCCGACTCCGTGCGAGCGGAGCACGAACACGCCCCGCAGCCCGTGTCCCTCTCACTGCCCGCACCGTACGAACGCCGCCGGAGCCGCGCTGTAGCGCATCTTCAGCTCTATGGCGGCACTCGCAGGTGTCCAGCCCCCGGCACCTCCCGGCGGATAACTGCGAAACCACCTCCCCGCGCAGCCACATTCCCAGCGGGGTGGGAATACCCGGCGGGCCCGCTGCCCTCCTCCGCCCCGGCGCTGGGCAGCCGAGCCGGGGGACGGCAGCGACTTCAGCACCGGCCGGGCGCGGGTCCCTCCGGCGGGGATCGCCGCCTCCTCCGTCCCGCGGAGCGCCGCTCCCGCACCTCCCCCGCGGCAGCCCCCGGGCCCGTTCCTCCATGGGGAAACGAGCCTCCGACCCCCGCGCCTGAGCTGCCCCCGCCCCGACCTCCTCTCGCTCCTCCCGACTCTCACCGAAGTCCAGCAACTGCTTGATGGAGAGCGGGGAGGGGGAGAAGCGGGAAAACTGCTCCACCTCCTTCGGCAACCGGCCGCTGCTGCTGCCGGCATTGGCCCCTGCCAGCGGAGCGGCGCTGCGGAGGGCGATCCGGGCGGCCTTCATCGCTGCCGGGGCGGCGGGTGCTTGGCGGGTAAGCGATCGCTGCGGGAGCCGGTGATCTGCGGGACTGCCACCGTCCCCCTGCCTGTGGCGGCGGCCTCACGTGGCGCCTCTATTTACAATCGCGTGGGGGCGGGGCTCCGGCAGGCCGCGCCCGCCGGGCCCCTCGTGACCGCGCTGGCGGCGTTCCCGTGCCCGGCCCGGCGGGCGCCTCGCCAGCGGCACGGGGAGCGCCGGGGGTGCCGGGGGGCGGCTGCGGGGCCGGAGCACACGGAGGGGCGGGTGACGCCCGCGGTGACCTTGTGCACCGGGCAGGCCGGGCGAGGCTGGCAGGGCGGCCGTGCCCAGCTGCGAGGGCGCTGTGCTGCCCGCGCCCCTCACGGGCTGCGCTCGGCCCCGTGCGGGCTCTGCACCCACACCCGGTGGGCTCGGGGCGAGCCGTGCACGGCGCCACGGGCCGGCTGAGCGGCGCGATGGTGCCGGGTGGTTGTGTGTTTGCACTCATACAGGGGTGCTGGCAGTGCAGGTACTGACGGGGTAACTCCAGGGTCGGCGCAGAGGCTGGCCGACTGCACGGAAGGCAAAGAAAGGGAGCAAAGTCAGACCCCAGCCGCAGGCTGTCGACATGGAGGTCATGGCTGTGACCTGGTTAATAGTGACCAAATACCCGAGGACAGCTGTGCTGGTGACGCAGGGGCCCCAGATGAGCATGTGGCCTTTATTTACTGTCACTAGAGATGAGCTAAGAAGGGGCTGACACAGTGTCTCGGGGACAGCTCATCTCCCAGGGTCACAGTCGACCTGAGAAAAATCCCCTCACCTTTCCTCTGCTGCGGAAGGAGCTTGCATCTCCACTGCTGCCTGGCCTTTTCCCAAAACGCCCAGTCCTATTCACTGAGGTTTGCATAAGGCATTGAAGAATGAAATTAATGTCAGCGGAGGCCTTTCTGACATCCAAAAACGTAGTCTGCAACAGCAGGAGAATGTGGCAGTAAAATAATTGTGCCCTAATATTTGCATAGAACTCTCCAGTCCAATTTTATATGCATATATTTACACACACAAACATGTAAACTCTTTTTCAAGGGAAGGAGGATTAAATTCCTCACAAGAAAGCTGTGCACTTAATTTAATAGACAGAGAAAAATACTTTAGCTTGTCATTAGACTGTTTTTTTGACTTTATCTCATTTTGTCTTCATAGCATATCTGTTATCCCTATTTATGGTTCTACTCCCACTGTACTTTATGTTTTATTGTTTTATTGCTCCCTGTTTTATTATTTTATTGGGAGAGTTATTCTGTTATTTTTCCATGAGTTATATTCTGGTTTACCGCAGTGATCAAATGTTGGTATATGAAATGTGAAATGAAGCAAAATTTAGACAAATAGCAGCAAATGTAATGACTTTGATTTTTCCTGTCCTTGCCAGAAGTTAAAAATTTAAGAATTTGGTATTTGCTTTTGGCTGTTTCAGCTTGGTTTACCTGCAAGTTGCAGATGCGTCACAGAAGTGAAAATATCATACAAATTTGTTTAAACCATGAAACGTGTAGAATAGCTTTTGTTTAGTTCCACTTTCTTCTTGAAGCCACTAATTGGTGACAAAAAGGAACCTCAAAATTAACTCTTTGCAAAAAAATCTGGGTCAGGAAGTTCTCTGCAGTCGGCAGTTATTGCAGTTTATAAAGTCACTATTTCTATTCCTATGAGATTATTTAATCTGTTGGTGTGCTGAGCCTGCTTAATATAAGTAATTCAAATACACTTTGTGAGCAGTCTGAATAGGGAAATAGACTAAGAACAATTTCTGTTGTTTGCATTAATTTTCTTTACAACTTCTTTTCTTATTTTCCTAGTAGTTATATGCAGTAAGGTATGAACAAATATCTTACATATTCAGTTTAGCTGTGAACAAAGGTAAAATTGTAGTTGCAGGAAATACAGGAAGCGTGTTGCCTTCCCCATTTGTTAAAAGGACAAGGCTCCAGTAATTCAAAACCTGGATGTTTTTCAAATCAAAACAAACTTCTACAAGAATTTTAGAAATCAGCAGCACAACAACTGAGGGTTTTTTTTACTCAGATGAGCTTCTAAAAGAAGCGTGTCTCCTTCATAATTCAGATTTGCTTCTTGCTCTCTGTATGATGGTTATATGTTACAGGAGGTTCTGAACAAATTTAATTTCCATTCTTGCATATATAAACTATATGAGTGTGAAGTAATTGTTATGGATGTCCTGAATGTTGACCAAGACAGCTAAGTTTTGGGCATAAATGTAACAATATATGAGGATTTATTGTCAGTCAAGATGCAGGTGAACAAGGCTGTGAAAATTGTAACCACGTCATATAATGCCTCCATCTATCATATCTTTAGCAGTGTTCTCACTTTATTTCCTCTCCAACCATTTCACCCTCCTTCTGAAACATGTGACAGTTTTAAGTGCAGGTGTCAGAGAACAATGGCTATGAAGGACAGTGCCAAATTCTGAACTGCAGTATTCATCAGAAGGGGTCTTATTTCTGCTGATTAGCTATTTTAACTTTCCTCTTCTGAACTGCCCTGGGGCAAGTTTTGAAAAGGCAGTTGCTTGGTCACAGTAATGTTTTGCTGACTATGCTTAAGAAAATGGAGCTGCATTAACATTCTGCTTTTTTCCACAACAGATGGGTCCAGAAGAGTGGAATGAATGAAGCCTGGACTCCTGTCCATTTGTCTCCTAGTAGCTCTCCATTGCAATCATCTGTCTCTTGCCTCATGTTTCTTATGTCCTCAACCCTGCCAGAGACACAACGTGCTGTACTGAGGTCAGAGTTGTCTTCCTGGTCAGCCAGCATGTGTAAAGCTGACCTTGTTGCTGATGTCTAATAGAAAGTATCATGGTTGCTTTTGCCCTTCCTTTTTCTCAGTAAGGACAGACAAAAAATGTAAGGCTCTTTTTCCTAACCCAACAAGTGCTGGAGACCCAATAGGATGTGCCAGGATGAGTGCCCTCTCCTGACCAGCCAGAATATGTGGGATGACTACTGGTGTGGTTGCTACTCTCTAGTAGAATGAGTCTGGGTGAGTTTCCCCTCCCTTTTATCCAGTGTGGTGCAAAATTCTAATCTTTCCTCCCTAAACCACCTGCTAGTTTGTACAGAGCTTGTAGGGAGTTGATTGTCTATTCAAATTTGGTTAAAATGCTTAGGAGGGATGGTTTGGCAAACAGGTGGACAGGCAACATCATTTTTTCTTATACGGAACCAGACTAACATTTTCTGCTAGGGACAAAGGCAACTTCTAAGTCAGCTTCTGTAAGGAAGGGTAAATAATAACCCAGGAGGAGCAGTAAGTCTAGATGGAAATTAATGGTAGCACTAGGAAGTTTTGAATGTAAGCAGAGCAGTCTGGTGACAAGTGCGTGAGTCATATTCACAGCACCTTGTGAAATTTCCAGCAATACCAAGGGCAAAACGCTCGCCCTCCGCCTGCAGGTGGGTTGGCATTTATGGAATTGGATTGATACTTTAACCTACAAATACATTTGTTTTCTAAATATTTATGTGGCCCTTTACATGGAAAAAAAGACAAAAATAGCATTACGAACAAGGGTCATATCTTCCCGTTCTCATCTTTCTGTCACCCAATGCTGTGGCTGCACAAGCTGTCAAGCTGCTGGGGGCTCCCGGTACAGCCAAAACAGCCAAAGTAGGTGAAAGGTTGTGGAGGAGCACACAAACAAGCTGGCATGCCTCCTCAGTAGTTCAGTGAGGGAAAGGTTCTGCAGCTGCTCCAGCGCTTACACAATCTCCTGTGGCTGCTCATAACTTGCAAAAGTCAAGAGTACAGTAGCTGGATCGTTTTACAGATGGACCTGTGACTGGTCAGCAACCTGCTTGGAGCTGTAAACATGGCAACTCAGCAGCCTTGAATGGGAGACACCCTTTTTCCTCATTCCCTGCCTTTGTTACCCATGTCTGAAATTATCTGTTACCTCCTTTAAAATCAACCACTGGATTGCTGGTTTCAAAATTGCTTTTCCAAAAAAGTAGCTAAAGGCTTGCACGAGATTAACTGTGGGTGTTTAAACTAGGAGTGTAGAGATAGCCGAGGGGAAAAAAACCTGTTTTGGAGTATAGCTGTACCAAATAGGTAGGAAATAAAGCTAGGACTCAAACTGTGATAAAAGTAGGACTCAAAAGTGTTTATCTTGAAATGCTTGTCACAATTCAGGAGGCTGCTTACTAAATAGGGGAGTAGTAATCTTCAGCCAAGTACACCATTGCAGAGGAAATAAAGGTAGGCTTTCAGAGTGGGTTGACACTGATCTAAAGTACATAGCTAGACACAAAATAATGTCCTTTTCCAGCCTTAGCTGACTACTGTAGCAGTTCTTGTGGAAGAGCGTGTGGCATCATCCATGAGAGCTGAAGATGCAGAGGAAAATAAAGAGGAAAAGTGTCATCAGGACAGCTGCCACTTTGGGCTACGGCTGCCTTTACTGTGAACAGTTCTGCTCTGGAGAAAATCACCTGGGGAAAAGTGGACACCTTGTGAAAAGTCAGGGAAAAAGTTAATGTTACCAAAATACATCTTTTAAGGTCTAAATATGTTTCATCTGAAGAGTTACGTTTTTCTGTAAGAATATGGAAATGGGGTTAGTGGAACAGGACATTTAAAATTGAAAGCTTTGGATTAGACGTTTTAGGAGACACCTCACTGTGGTATCTCCTAAAGGAGTTCTAGCTTCACCTGTATCACGAAGGAGTTCTAGCTTCACCTGTAACTCTTACATGGGTCAGGGACTTTGAACTGGTACACATAGTGGGTTTTTTTTTTCAGAGTAGATCACTCTGGGTGAAGAGGAGATGTTTTTGCTAAGTTTTCTATCAAATGCGCTTTATGCTGTTGACTGTAGCAAGACAATTGGTAAAGTGGATGTGATGGCTTGAGTTTCGGCTCTGAACTGGAGCCTGAAACTGTTTCTCCAGGTTACGTTGTCTGAGGCTGATCTTAGAAAGCATTCCCAGTTGTTCTCTCTCAGCACTTCCTTCATCAGATTTGAAAGAGTTTATTTTCTTTTAGTGTCCACATCCCATGAACTTGAATGAGAAGTTTAGTCTAGGAAATAGTAAGCCAAGACATCATCTAGAAAAGGGCTCTCTATGGTGTTACCTAATCACTCTCTCAAAGGGCTCATGGTATCTCTGGAATGCTGCCTCTCCTTCATGCTCTGGATTACCCAAGGGAAGTTTGTTTTTTGTTTGCAACATCCTGACTATTATCCCTGAAATGTGAATTCACAGATACTGGGAATTCACCATAAATACCGTAAAGACTGAGTTTCCATAACATACTCTATAGGACTTGTCTACACAGTAGGGAGTTTTCATACTTGATTAAATGTATAGCCACAGGCTAAGGTGTGAAAACTGCAATTAAATATGAATATGTAGCTTGTGTATTAAAATATTCCTGATAAAGAGCCAGCACAATAAAAAATATTGCACTTCAAAATTAAAATGCTTTGCCTTTGGGTCCAGGTAAGTGCAAAATATGTTTTTGACATGACTAACAGGTAATGGGTAAATTATCAATGCAACATTGCTGGAACATTAACAACAGTTTAAACATTTAAACTTCCCATTTATTGTGACAAAATCTCATGGTATATTAAACAAAATCTGCAGTCCTGCTATGCAGGATTAAGTATGTTTTCTTGTTACTGTAATTCCTTTAATATTATTTATTACTCTATCCACTTCGGTATTTTCAAACTCAGTTTCCAATATAGTGCTTATCTAATAGTCACTAAAATGAAAAAAACAAAATCATCAAAATTATGGTGGTACTTGATTTCCAGGAATTCTGTCATAAGTGACATAAAAATCCACACTAGTTTAATATTTCTTCATTTAATTTACTGAAATTACACCAATATTCTAAATTTACTGTGGTGGTTACATTTATATGCAGCCATTAATGAACATACATTTAATTTTGTTTATATATGGAAAAGACCCCTAGATATAAGCAAAAAATGAATGAAGACATTTCTGAACTATTTATCCAATTTAAAAGTTAAAAATATGTGCAAACACAAGTCTTCATTCCCTATTTTCTGGGGCATAATATCTGGGTACAAATAATCAGCAATAAGTTTGCAGGCATTGGTTTCAAAAATCCCCCTTTGAAAGAAAATATTTTAACGTACTCACAGGAGGATATAGTCTGTGAAACAGAGATGAAAATTATCTTTGTTGTGAGACCAACTGAATTACAAATTTTGTTTGAAAAAATATATTAAGACATATTTTCACTGCTGAAAAACAGATTCACTAAAATGTTTAAGATCTCCTTTTACACCATATAAGAAGCAGTATAATTTCTTTTTGCACACTCACACAACTACTGTTAAAGTGAGAGTTATTAAGCCTTCCATTTTGTGGATACTCATTATGAATACATATTTAACTAAAGTCGAATATTTGGGCATTTCTTCATTTCCAGAAAGAAATATAAGCTTCTTATTCTCTATTTCAACAGTACTAGAGAAATGTTTTGAAATTTCAATATTTAGATCAAGAAAAAAATCTAATGTAAACAGTCTTGAAGACACTCTAGACAAGAGGAAATTTGGTGATCACCACAAGAGCCGTTGCTAGCTTTCAGCAGGTGCTGAGAGGGAGGGCAGTGCTTTCCCCTGGGTTGGGTGTTGGAGAACCAGTTTTCCTTCTGCTTTTTGTTCCAGATATGCTATATGGAATCCTGAAAACCAGTTCCTTATTTGCAACTCCCTCAATGCTGAAATTTAGGAAAGAGAGTTAAGAATATTATCAAAGAAGCAATATAGGATTTAACTGGAGTAAGATACTGAAACGAATATTGCATGGGAGTGATGCCATGCTGAAGAAAACAAGTGTATTTGTGTTTATTTTTATTGGTATTTTGGGCTTACAGCACGCACAACAAATGATGCACATGCTTATCACGTCTCATGTATGGAAACAATTTTAAAATTCTAAGCATTTCAGTTAAAAGAAGTCAAATTAAAGCAATGCCAAGAATCCTAGTTTGGAGTAATTTTTGATGAAAATTACCTTCTACAAGGTCTTGGAGGAAAACCAGCAATTTAGTAAAATGGAACAGATGAAAACATCTCTTTGACATTCCCCTTAGTCAAACCTTCATTACGTTTCCTCTCTTTTTGTGAAATACAGTAGTGGATATGGTATTATTTGCCCTTTCTGTGAGAAAGACTCACAAAAGCATTGGACTGCATTTTGAGAAGCTGTCTGTAGTTTTGTGTGAGCACTTTTGGTTCTTAATAATGGCTGCAAAACCTTGCAGGTCTGAGGGATTTCAGTCAGAGTTATGAACCCATAGCACCTTAAGAAATTAGGTGCTAGGTCTGACCAACATGCTGAATTAAACTGTACTGTTGAAAGCATGGGGTAAATTTCCATCTGAAGTTGCTCAAAGAGCATTTTGACGCCAAGAATTTTCTCCTTCAAATAAAAAGGGTATCTCTATTTAACCATTCCTGGAGAAAAATATCTAATATTGTACTTTTGAAAAATCCAGACAATGCCAGTCCTTTACAGTCAGTTCATGTTTCAAATCTTATGCCAAATGCTCAAATCCTTGGACTAGAGAAGACCCAGAGGGAACTCATAAAATTATATAGGAAAGGCACCAATTCACTCTTGCTGAGAAGTAATTTGGTTTGGTTTAGTAACCTGTGAAATAGTTCTGTAAAATTATGAACTTTAAGGAAACTGTAAAGAGTGTGATTATTGACATCTGCTGTAGGTGACCTTTATGTGCTGAAAAGATCACAAGGTAGTAAAGACAAAAAAATTACAACCTCCTTTCCTTGTTCTCTCTAATGGTCTGAAATTGAAAAATTGGATCTATTGAACCCCAGTTAAAGTCAAGACAGCCAAATAAAACAAGGCTACAACCTGCAACTTGCAGTTTCCCAAGTATGTAATTTATATACTTTAGAGACTAAATGCTGATGCTTGAGGGAGTTGTGAGTTGCTGCTCTCACCTGAACATAAATCACTTCATGTTATTTCCATCCATTCACTACCTCTTCCATTAACTTCCCCCTCTATGGTAAAGAAACATATCCTAGCATTTCAAAGGAATAGATGTACACGTGCAGATCATCCAAAGCTGTTTGTCCTGATTCTTTTCTCAGGGCTGTCACAAGGGCTGTGTGCCTTGCTATCTTTCCTACTTCTCCGTATCTTTTCTGGCTGTTCTTTCTTTGCTGTTTATCTTAACATAATCTAAGCTCCTGGCAGCTTTATGAAATTTGTACTGGTATTGATCAGCTTGCAGCATATGGTGACTGCCTTAACGTCACGGTTGCTGGCATTACAGCACTATGTAGTAGCTAACATTTCTAGTGCATGAGCTGTGCAGATGACCTTTTAGCTCTCCTTAAGAGCATCTCACAGTTGTCCTGAGTCAGCGTGCTGTTACCACAATAGTCTCAGGGTGGTATTTTAAGTGTCCCTTGTCATAAGGGACCAAAAAGGCAGTAGCATGACGCTGGGTATGCCCTATGACACAGATATTGCCTGAGTGTGCTGGATGCTGGGAAATGCTGAAGGGGGCCCAGACCAGAGCCAGAATAGTATTGCTTTCCTCTATGTAAATATCCTCTAACAATTTCCCAGTAGTCACATCAGCTGAATCATTTTATCTACAGCTCCATTTGGAAAGGGACCCTGTCTGGTCCTGTCCTACCTCACTCTTTTTATTTTAATGAACATATTTTCCAGAAGTGCAACACAACTAGCATTGAGATATGCAATTACCTAATTACCTTCTTCTTCTTCTTTTTTTTTTCTTTTTTTTTTTTTTTTCATTAAGAAAGTTACTAACATTTGCATTTTTTAAAATCTAATTTTATGGCTGATACACTGTTTACTGTTTGCATGGTCAAAAGGATGTTTTTCCCCATTCTAGTAGAAGTGTATGATCCCAACTACTGTGTTGTCAAGGTATTTGTACATTACTTTGATTTGGCCTAAGAGAAAGCATTTGTGCTTGCAGAACAGGTTTGTTCTGTGTAATGACTGGGAAACTGGGCTGTCGCCAGTGGGGTGCAACCCAGATTTTCAAATCCTTTTTAAAGTATTTGGGTATCTGACAGCTGTGTCTGAAAATACATTAAGGAGGGGTTGTTTACAGGAAAGGACAGGCTTGGTATGCTCACTAACTACTGCATTGCTGAAGAGCTGGCTGTAGTTTTCTGTACTCAGAGTTCAGATAGTAACATATGAGTTGTTGTATTAGTTAAGTAGATGATTTTCAGCAGGATGCTGGGAAATCTTATAGCCAGCTGCACATATTAAGTACTATGCATAGCTACTGCAGTGTGAGATACTAGAGGGGATTGCTGGGACATCCTTGAAGTGATGGGTTAACTTCTCAGCCAGAGGGAAGTTGTACATGTGTTATTTCTGGTTACTGGATAGTGTGTGAATGACTGTGAATGAAGTCCTAATCCAGTGCCCACTGCATTCAGTTAAATGTTTCCAGTTATTTCAGCTGTAGTTTTAAGTTGGTACTGGATCAAACCATTGTGAGATTGAAGATAGCAAAAGGCACGCTGAAAGGAAAAAATCAGTTTTAGGGTTCATATTTTAATTTTTCACTATTTTCTAAAGACTTCAAGGGAAGTATTTCTTTAAGTCTGATTTGCCCTTTTTTCACTTTCCTACATTATATATAGATTAATTATATGAGTTGAAATATTTTTTTCTTATGGCTGTCTAACTTGAGGAAGTCAGTGACCAGGCCACCTTTTTAGCAAGGAAAAATAAACCAGACATTCATATTCTTGTTTTGAAATACTTTTCTCTGTGTGCTTTGTTCTTTCTAAGAACAAAGTAAAATATAATAAAACATAAATAATGTTATTTAAATTTTTTTATTGTATTATATTTTTATTGCTAAAATAAGCAATACTTCTGTTTTAAAAGTACTCTGCCAATGTCATGTCCATCATTGCTCATGGACTTGCAGAGGAAACTTGCATGGGGTATCTGAATTGAGAGAGACCATCAGGGAGATCTGGTGCTAGCAACCAGGGGGCAGAAAAGGAGAACTGATAATTTCCCCATGTGAGGACCAACATTTGAGCGCACTCTGTGTCCAGGAGGGAAGTGAAGGACACCTAGCTTTGGAACTACCTGTCTCTTCTCCAGATGTAATAAGAAAATATTAGAAAGGTAAGATGGAGCTCTACCTGGCAATTTTAAATTGATTGAATGTTGTTTTATGCAGGATTTCAGTGAAAAGAGCCTCCTGCTATTTTAGTCAGTTTTTGGGGCCACCATTCTCTGTCAGACAGCTCTTGTGAGCTTCCCAGACAAGGCATGCATGACATGTTAGGTAGCTTCACTGAGCCATCCCACCCATGTCCATACAGTGTAGACTCCTAGGACAGGTGTCCCACAGAGAGGTCCTAGCAAGGCCTTTTTAGCTTTCATACCACCATATATAGGACTCTGGTTAGCTGTTGCTATTATGCTAAAGCACCTCATACCTAATGACTGAGACGGGATGATCTTGCTGGGTTTTTTGGTATTGGAGAGGGGTAGGAAAGTGAAAGAAAAGGTGGACTTAATACCCATACTCAAGACTAGTCAAAAGATGAGACAGGGGTTGTAAGTTGCTGCGCGCTTTATTCCTAGCAGGGCATGCAGGCCTTCTGTTTTTTTCCGGTCAAAACATCTTTGTTTTCCTTACTCCTTCAGATTTTGTATGGATGCTCTAGCTATCAGGATGAACAGTGTTATGGGTTTTTCCATGACTCAGTGATATATATATATATACATATATATATATATGTTTAGAAACTCCCTGGATGTTTACAGGTGTAACTGTTATCTACATTAGCCTAAATTCTGAAAATGGGTACTCAGCAGAGAGTCAGATACAGGCCATTGCTTCAATCCAGACAGTAAAACTTCATGAAACATGGAAAATGTCCCTAAGGCCCTTCAAGGAATTGCATAAATTATGTGTTCTGTAGCAAGTCTCTAGCTCTAAGCTAAACAAAATTCTTTGAAAGGTTTTCACACCCCACCCTGGCCTTTGTGTTATGTCAGCTTTCTGCCCAGTTATCAATATCTGGAGGGAGCAATACACAGATACCATTTGCTGCTGACTGCAGACATCAAGTCTGAAGATCAGGCAGTGAAGGCATCTCTCACTGTAAAGTGGTATCCAAAATAAGCATAAGCTGAAGATTTTTTCGAAGAAAAAGTAGTCTGAGCTAATAATCACAAAAGAATGAGTCTAAGATGGCTTGACTGCCTCTTTAAAACAATTAGAGGCGAGGACCCAGGCATAGTTGACGTCCCTCTTTGTGCTAATTTAGGAATGGACCCTGGGATATTGTGACAGTTGGCATCTATGCAGGCCACACCCACACCTTGAGTTTGAAGTTTGGCGCCTCCCTTCTGAGTGGAGTAGGGAAGAGGGTTGATTTGGGGAAGAGGGTGATGGTATCTGAATGGAAGACCTTGTGCCTTATCCTTTAGGAAAGTCATTTTTCAGTCAGCTGCACAGAAGCTTCCCATTTGGCACAGGGATATTATTGAGGGATGGGAGACCTCTGCCTGGCTGTGAAGGGACAACACTAGGCATAGCTGGAGTAAGGGCTGGACTTGGATGGCACTGAAGGCATGCTTTTGTGTAAACCCCTGTGTCAAGGGCTTTACAGATTGGAATGGGGTTGGATTGAGAGTGGAAGGCTGGTGAGTCTCAGGTGGGCACTAAGTCCTCAGTCCCAGCTCTCATTGCCTTTGGACAGTGTTCAGCACTGTGTATGCTATCCTATGCTTT